TATAGACTATGAATCAGACCTAAAACCCTAATAGGCCAAGCCTATTAGTTCATAGGCCCATGAGAGGTGTCAACCAATCACAATCCGTCATGCAACCGCTTCTGGAACCTTCATCCTTAAGATATATTGTATGAGCATCATCCATGAGCATCTTACAACTGTTAAGCATCCTCTTTGAGCATCCTCCTTGAATATCTTCAACTAATGAACATCCTCCTTGAGCATCTTCAACTTCTGAGCATCTAAGATGCTCACTCGTGATGCCAAGTGTTCCATTGATACTAGATGCTCACATAGAATGATCAAAATACTCAAGTCATATTTAACAAACACTCATAAATCTTACAAAAATAATATATAGAAATGTTTGATCGAAAAATCATCAAATTCTCACTTTTTCATAACAATTGAGGTTATTAGTTTTTTCGTATTACCTCTCATCTCAAACATTATTATTGCAAGAAAAAAAATTCAATGGGAATAATCATTGATGCGACCAAATTTATATCCCCATTTCTTCTCATTTGAATCAATAACCCTTCCTATGAATGTCTTTTGTGAGAAAACCTATGTTTTTTGTGAGAAAAAATTACTTATATATATACTACTAATATCGGTGCAACATGTGGAAATTAAAAAGTCATTAGCAACTGTCATTAGTTTTTAGAATATGAAATGTCATTTAATTAAAGTATATTAAGCATCCAATATGCACAACTTATATTATATTAGTTTGAGTACTTAATAATTATACGACATAAGTTAAAAAACTCTTGAATAATTTTGATTAATTGGTTGAAAGTTAAAAGGTTTTGAAGATTTCAAATGAATATGGTGTAAGTATTTTACATATTTTCAATTATACTTATTTGAATGGCCTCTTTATAAGATAAAAATAAAGATAAAAAATTGGTTAAGGCCATTAAGGCAATGCGAGTCTAAAGAGTTCGAAAATTTGAATATATGTCAAACGAAAGTTTCATGAAAATGGTTATTTTCAAGATGTTTAACAAGCTTATGATTTATAGGTTAATAATTGTTTATATTTATAAACAAGAGCTTATCTAAAGTTTATGTCATCAAAAATACACCTGGCATGTTTTATATACAAAAGGAAGTTTAGAATATAAACGTTTTATGCGAAGTTTTTTATGTTGTTGCTTAAAGAGTTAAAGAAAGATTTATGTCTTATAAAACTTACAAAGAAGCAATGTTTGTTCAAGTATGAAAGAATAACGAGCACAAAAATTGAAAATATAAGCATATCAATGAAATGGTATGTGATAGCGTTGGTTAATAGGTGCATAAGTTTAAGCATATCATTGCATCACAAGTCGTTGATTCAATACCACACATAGTATAAAAGTATAAATTTTTTAATGAGTTAGGAATAACAATTTTATATAAATTACTTTTTAATTGTTATGTTAGATATATTACAATTAATGTCGGAAAACAAATATGGTGTTTAGCTTTGAAACAAATAATATAATATCAAACTTGTCACGAAATTATTCAACAATTTTGGTTCGTGACTTGGTGGGTGCGATTGTAAAAAGAGAAAAACACAAATATAGCCTAATTATTAATGATTTTAAAAATAACCAAAAAATTACAAAAATAACCATAAAAATTGAAGTTGGTATGCAATTAAGTACTAATGAGCTGAAAAATGGCTTATTGCACTATGGTTTTAATAAATATGCAAAATTACAAGGTGTGATGGAATGCTTCGAATCGGAAAAGTCAAATCTACCCTACTTACTTAATGAATTTTCAAAAAATAAAAAAAAACAAAAAAAAAAAAAACGGAATACAAGTCATACACATTACACACCAAACTATTGATTTTTATTAAGGTGAATTGTAAGAAATTCATTACATTACCATAAAATTTCGATTTTAATATTGAATTATTTTTTTCAATTATATTATTATATTTATAATTTTGTTGCAATATCAACCAAATGACCAGTTCTTTTTGTTCTTCCGGTAACCATTTTTCCCGAATTACAATAAAATCATTAAGTTTACCAAAATTTCGATTTTAACACCGAGTTTTTAAATTGCAACATTAAGTTTACCAAAATTTCGATTTTAACACCGAGTTTTAAATTGCAAGAAAATCATTATATTACCACAAAATTTTGATTTTGACACTGAGTTTTTTTTCTTTCAATTATGTCATTATATTTACAATTTTGTTGCGGTGTCAACTAATGATCGATTCAGAAAATGTTATTATGGTTTAGAAGCTCGATTTGTACAACAAATAAATGAAGGTCGATCCAATAGTCAAAATGCAACATTTTACTGGTTTTTATGACTTTTTGTAAAAATAAATAAATTAATTTGAGACTATTTCATAAACTGATTCAAAATATTAATATTTTTCTAAAGATTTCCCTACATACTATGGCCCAATAAAAGTCATCGCCCTCCTTATTGTACTTGTATGTTAACGATCTCACTTTCAACTTTGCAATTTTAATTTTAAATTATTCTGTAATTTCTAATATTACACATAATATTAAAACATAATGTTAAAATCATATCAAATAAAAAAAAATATAAATATTATAAAAATATAAATGTTCAAGGTCAGGTAAATAAGATAAAATAATTAGATGAATAAAATATTAATATCATAATCATTCTAAACTTTAAAAATACTTAGCGAAAATCTCTCTGGTCCATAACCATTTGTCGGATAAAAGTTTGACAAATATTATGGAGACTTTGGAAAAGCAAATGTGATGATTTTAGTTGCGGTTGCTCTTGATCCAAGATTAAGATGAGGTTTGTGAAGTGTTCTGTAAGAAAATTATTTCTTTTGGACTTTAATAAAATTGAAGAACTATATTATCAAGTGTTTGAGGTTTTGAAAAAAAAAAGTATAATAATTATGCCAATGTTTCTTCAGTGACAAAGAATGATGGTTCTTGTTCCATCGATATCAATGATGTTGATGACCAAAATTTTGTTGGAATGGTTAATAATAAATACATAAGAAAAATATATGATCCAGCTCTACGAAAATGATGTTGAGGATGCTATGGAAAAATCCGAATTAGAGGAATATCTTCATGCTCTACCTGAAAACACCTGAAAAATGAAAACACCTGAAAAAACAAATGAATAATGAAACATTTGAAATTTTGAAGTGGTGAAGTGACAAATACACTACATATAAAGTGTTCGACATCAATTGAAAAAGACATTCTAGTCATTCTGATTTCTACAGTTGCTAGTGAGTCCACTTTTAGTATATATGGTGCTTTGGTGGATGACTTTTGTAGTAATTTGCTTCCGAAGACGGTGGAAGCTTTGATATGTACTCAAAGTTGGTTGAGGGCATCAAATGTATGTATTAACCTTGAGCAGTTATTGGAAGATGTGAAAAAATGCAAAGAATATAAGTTACACATTTATTTATAATTTTATTGTATATTTTGTATAATATTTATTATTCTACTTTAGTTTCAATTATAGAAATCAATCAACATTTGAAGGGAATAAGTAACTCCTTTTGTGATGTACTAATATTGATGTTATTGTTTATATTCTTTCCATTTCTAGTTCATTTTTTCCGGTTTCTCCATCCCTACCTCAAGAGATGACAATGTCCTTCAAAATTTCAATTATCATAACCATTCCCAACATATTCCTAATTATCGAATTTGAGAATCCGGTTGGGTTATATCCAAGAAAAAACAATAATCATCTAAAAAAATTGTTAGTCTTGAAGATACAACTGCTATCAACTTAAATTCACCCCAAAACATTTTTGCATAAGACTAGCATGTATACATACCACAAATTGGGTCGTGGTCTACGTGACCACGATCGTGGACCGTGCACACCAGCTCACACCTTCGTGGTGGGGCGTGGTTGTGGTGTTTTGTGACGCCAATAACGACCAACAATGACCAATCAAAACCCTTTGCTCTTTAACTCATGGCTTGAGTATTCTAACGACTACTTTGAGCATTTTTTTAATTAAATTTTTACCATTATAAATGTCACTACAAACCATCTTATTTGTCATACAATTATTCTCTCCTTTTACTCACATTCACACATTTTTATCGTTAAATTTCAAAAACCATGGCTCCCAAAATGATGAACTGGTCGGAAGAGAAAGAAGAAAAGTTAGCACTAGTATGGGTGTCGGTTTCCGAAGACGGAGATTGTCAAACCTCTAGAGATTTTTGGGGAAAAGTTTGAAGCTTTTTCTATTTAATGGGCTGTACAAGTCGAAATCCCGACAAAATATGTTCGAAGTGGCATGATATGAGGGTAAAATGATGTCAATCCAATTGAATTTACAACATGGTAAACAATCAACACGGAGACGATATCGATTTGGTTAATATTGCTTTGCATCAATATGAAAATCATAAACCTTTTCCACATCTCAAAGCTTAGTTAAAGTTGAGGGATTGTCCAAAATAGAAATAGTAGTTTATTTTATGTTTGAATTTTTTATGTTTGCCCAAAATAAACTAGGATTGAAGGGTAGTTTATTTTATGTTTGAAATTTTTATGTTTTCTTGCATTTTATTTTAAATTGTCGTTTTTTATTTTTGATTTAATTTTAATTACAAAAATGACGTGGAGTGGTGTATTAGATATTTCATGGTTTTAGTGGTAGGACGTGGTGATAGTGGTAAGTGGTGGGTATAACGGATGAACTAATAGAATAAATGGTCCAACTCACAACAAGATACATAATCTTTTATTCACATAAGGGACAAACCTCTACATGTCATTGCATTTCAAATTCTAGCGAAGCCTTGACTTTTTTTTTTTTTTTTTTTTTTTTTTTTTTTTTTTTTTTTTACAACCTAGATAAGAGACCCACAAAATGAAGACAAGTAAATTGGAAGAGAAAAGGCTAAATGAGGACTAATCATATCGAATACCTTCCATAGTTGAACTCCTTGCAGAAGAAATCCGAAGGTGCTTCATGACTAAGCAACCACTAATCCATTTGCTATCTAGACCTCCATTTTCTCAACCTCGGATTCCAAGCCTTTATGTTGGTGGATTTTGGGCTTACTCACAGATCTACCAGATTTTTTATCATGTTTTTGCCTCCTCTTGTTGACTTTTGATGCTAATGTCTTCAATGGGATTGTGATGTCAAGAGGTAGTAAAACTTCCTGCAACTCATGCCATTCAAGATCTTCAAAATCCCCATCATCATAAACCACTCTATACCAATTCGATTCTTTGTCAAATTTGGTAACTTCCCCATTAAAGAACTTCTCCCCAAATAGCTTTTGAACTTTTCTACCTTCTAACCAGTCACCCAAAGACTCATTTGTTTTTGAATCTATGTCACAACAAACTTTGTAGGGAACAAGACTACCATTGACACTGGTACATACAGGAGGCACCCCATTGATAACCAATGCAGGTTCACCAGGTATCTCATAGATTCCAGACATTGGAGAATCTGGGTTGTCTTCCTTGAGTGTCATCTCCATTTCAAAATGCATAACCTAGACTGGATATATCCTGCCAAATGAATAAAATGTATGAAAGATATGGCATTGTTTCAGTGTGTATCAGATATTTCGAATTTAATGACAAGTGACACCACAAAATCAGATATATATCGTATTCAGAAGGTAGCAACTATGGCTTCCCAAAGATATCCACAGTAGTTTCTTATATCCATAGCTCAGTTAAACAGAGAAAGTGAGAAATGCACAATTTAAGCTATTAATTATCGCGTACGCTGCTATTAATCACGAAGATCTATAAGAGTGTTAGACAAAAACTTGATAAAAGCAATTAGCAAAAGAGGAAACTATACGCTGGTACACTATGTTTTTTCATGAATCATCACAATACCAATTTAACATATCGAAACAGGATGAACGATTTACAATTGATCAGATTTGATTGAGAACTGGAACTCTAATTCCTTCGGTTTCTGATCTTCAAATATTTCGATTTACTAAGAAATCCGAGTTTGCTTACCGGGAGAGCAAGCGGTTAGCCCAATCGAACTCTCGTATTGCCGATTGCCTGCACAAACCCTAACACCTCCTCGTTCCTTTTTAGCTTTGCTTATTATTAATTTTAATTTAATTTACGCTCCTTAAAACACCCTTTTTATTTTTATTTTTTATTAATAATAATTAGTTGGTATCTTCCAGGTTACAGGTTCGAAAGTTAACCTTACAGCTATGAAGTAATTTTATATACCACTTAAAATAGAATAAAAAGGTAATTAAAAAAAAATAATTAAGACCTAGTACCGGGGGCTTCCTTTTTTAAAAAGTGATAATTTGTATATAATATTTTTTTATTTATATATAATAACTTATGTTTTATAAAAAACAAAATTATAAAAAGTCTTTTATTATTGTTAAATATATGTGGTTTCTAAAAATAATTGGAGGTGTATAAGAGGTTTATTTTCGATCATTTTTAGTGATTTTGGTCTAAAAAGACTATTATACTTTTTTTTATATTTATTTTAAAGTTTTTTAATTAACTACAAATGAAATAAGAGTCACCCATCCCTAGTGTCCTCTCTCCCCCCCCCCTCCCCAATATAAGTTGTTTGAGATTATTTTCAAATTGACTTCTTTGACTTTTGGTTTTTTCAAAAAGCCAAAAGTTTTAAAAAATATTTAACAATTCAAAAAGTTCTTTTAATTCAATTTATTGCAAGAATAAAATGAGATGTTTTAGAAGTCAGGAATTGATGACTTTCGGTGACTTTTGTTTTTTTGGCTTTTGTTCCCTTAAATGTTAATCCAAACACATTTTAAAAACTTTTTTCGGAAATGCCACAACTAAAAAATTCTTTTGTAAAAATGACTTTTTAGGTTAAAAAGCAACCCAAACAACCCCCCCCCCCTCTCCTCCCCTTTAATTTTCAAAATTAATGGAATCAGATCCCCAACCCCATTTGAAAACATCCATCGAGCTGCTGCTCTACTTCATTGGAGTCGTTGAGCTCTTTCCCAAATATCACCATATCTACGGTTACACCGACGTGGCAGATCTAAATCAGATAAAGCTAAACGCTAACTATTCTCCTTCGTTGTCTCAATAATCTCGGAGAATGACAACGCTTACTAGCCCCACCACGAACCATCTCCATCTTTGTGGAAAATCCTACTCTGGAGTGTGAAACAAAATCCAGATGAGAAAGGTGGCGACGCTAGAGGATCTACAAACGTTGGCAGATAACCGGAGAAAGCGAGAGGCGAAAGTGGTGGCGGCAGGTTTGACCAATGGCGGTGGAGGCTGAAATCCCTAATCTCTGAAAGACGAAGGGCGACACCGGTGAAGGTGGTTTGGGTATAGTTGACGGCGCTGTCCTTCGTAGAAATCTTTAGGGTTATGCAATTATAAAAGACATGACACTTGAGAGAACCTACCAAATCTCGAAATCTTCTATTCTTCCCTCTCCATTTCTTCTTGGAGATAAACATGGTTGTGTTTGCATCGGTTAAAAGAAAACCTAAATGGTTTTACAACAAAAACCCTAATTAGGATTTTTCTAAGTTAAGATTTGTTTTGCTTGAATATTACTGCTTTGTGAGCGATTGCAATATAAAGATTCTAATATAGGATGCAAATATATACACATAGACAAAACATACAATTTACCACAGCCACAACTACAATTTCAATAATTTACTCTATATTTAATCTATGTAAAAAATTGTGAACAAAATACATTATACGATGCAAATTTAATTTCTCACAATTTTTGAACATCATTACTCAAAAAAAGTAAAAAATAAAGGAAAAAAAAAATCATGTTGCATGAGATACACATGTTACTCGAAGTGATATGGAGTACAATTTTATTGTGATAATGAAATACATAACAATGTTGACCCGCATGGAGTATATTCACGCCAGGTCCAACATATCATTCACTGGAAAGAAGAAATGATTCCTAGTCTTCCCAGTTGTGCTTTGTGGGGACAAGGCAAAGAGGTGTCGTCCTACGAAGAAACGGGAAGCCATTCTCTTTCATATCCAGATCTTCCTTCTTCAATCCGGCCGGTGTTTCCCAGTTGAAGAAGTAAAGTAAGTTTGAAATTGTAAATTCTACAGTTGAAGTAGCCATGTTATTCCCAGGGCATGCTCTTCTCCCCCCTCCAAACGGGATCATCTCAAAATATTTCCCTCCGATATCAGCCTTAATGTGTTTTCAAATCGCTCTGGATAAAACTCCTCTGCATTCTCTTTCCAGATTCTTGGATCCCTTCCTAATCCCCACGCAGTCACCATCACTTTCATACCAGGTAACACGTCATATCCACCAATCTGACATTGACTTACACATTCCCTTCCCATCAGAAAAGCAGCAGGTGGGTGCAATCTTAGCGTCTCCTTCACCACCATTTTCAAGTATGTCATCTTCGTAATATCTGATTCATCTACTTTCGATTTTCTTCCAACACATCTTCGAATTTCGTTTTGCAACTTTGCATAACTCTAGGATTTTTAACGAGCTCGGACATAGCCCACACCATTGTTATAGTAGATGTGTCAACTGCCCCCTCAAGCACATTCTGCAGTGATGTTTATTTCATGAAAAAAAAAAAAAAAAAAACGATGCATGAAACTGAAAACCATGAAATAAATCTATGCAAAAATATAGAAAGTATTAAATATGTTGTTTACCATCACAAGTGCTTTCATCTCCTCGGTAGTCAACCGAGACATACAGTCATCAACAAAATCATTTACATGACCACTTGTTTTTGTGTCATGATGATCATCAAGAACCATCTGGAGAAAGCCATCAAAATCACTATAACATTCTCTAGCCTGCGATTCCACCCTGTTAATTCGTCTAAAATCCAACCAAATGTTGGAAAAATAAACGAAAATGAAGCACCACCCATGACTTGTACCTCCTCGACTATATCTTTCAATGTTCTACCATTAAAAGTCTTTCCCCTATAGCTGTTACCGAATGCAACCTTACCCACGACATCATATACTAGAGATAAGAGGATATCTTCTAGGTTTACTGTAGTGTTTAAGGAATGTGATGAGATAGAACGAATGAGAGCCTCCATCTTAATCTCCATCACGTTTTTATATAATCTATCCTTTTGGCACCCAAGAACTCAGATACCAAAACCTTGCGCATGTCTCTCCAATGATCATTGTGTGGTGCGAAGGCAACGTCCATGTAGTTAAATGACAGTAGCTTGGTAGCCTTAGAGTACGGACGCGTACACAGCTTCTCATCATGAGTTTTTAAGACTTCAGTAGCCATTTCACTAGAGGAAATGACGAGGAATGGTTGGGCTCCAAAATGAAGAAGCATAGCTGGGCCGTATGTCTGGGAGAGGTTCCATAGGGTTTGATGGACACCCTCTTTACCCAACACTTGGTGAAGGTTCCCTATTATTGGAAGCCTCTTAGGGCCTGGGGGAAGCTTGATGGATGAGCTCCTCCTACGAAGAGCATACATGAAGATGGAAGTAAAGAAGAGAAGTAATGTTGTTGGAAGAATCCATGAAGGGAAGAATGATATGATATCCATATCGATGGATCCTTCTTTTACTTGTGCTTGAATCGTGATGGTGTTTCTCCATATTTATAGTGGAGATGGAGATGAAATTCTAATACGTACCGAATACTTTATTAAGAAAAGGATTTTGGAGGGTCAATTTTTCAGGATAAAATGTTAAATATTAAAAAAGCACCTTAATATTATACTTTAGTAACTACTATTTAATGAAAATATATAGTTTGGCTAAGCAACCCTAAGAAACCTTGATGCGAATAACGTGATACGCGTGAAGATTCTAAAAAATAATAATTTGTAAAGCATATATATATTTACCTACAAATCGTTTATATCGCCATATTAGATATTAGTACAAATCGTTCATATCACTATATTCGATATATTTGGGTATGACCCGAAACATTAAATTTATGGTCATTCCTTCATATAATATTACGAATTGTAATTGTAAGGATTCTTGCGTTTCAACTTTCAAGCCCTTGGTTCACTCAAAAATCTTATTGGGAAGCTTATGATCAATGTTTTTTAAAATCGGTTTTTTAGTTGAATCGATATGGTGATCGGTTCCCGATTTATCCGGTTTGACCGTCGGATAAACCGGTTTCTACAATTTTCATCTCTTAACCTATTTTCCTACACACATATACATACATAAGTCAAGAATTTGACGTCTATAAGTTCAAACATTAAAAGAATACATAAAAACAAGTTGTAGGTTAATCCAAATACATTAAAACAACAAAATCATAATATCATACGTATCATATATGAAACAAAATAAAATTTTAGATTATATCAAAAAATCATAAATCATATATTTCATGAAAAACATGTTTTTTATTCAATTTAACCAGTTAAACCGGTTTAATTTAACCTGTTCAACTGGGTTTTTGTGAAAACCGACCGGTTCGTTCCGGTTCAGAAAAAGGCATAAAATCGATACTAATCGAACTGCTCATTTCCCTGGTTTTTGGTCCAACCGTTTCGATCGGCCGGTTCAAACCGATTTTTAAAACATTGCTTATTATAGGTGATTAATCTACATTTTTGTCAATCAAGATTTACACAAGTCATTTCAACAAAATAGACTTTCACATGGACCAATCCCTCACGACTCACATAGATAGTGAGGCCATTTAGTGACGAGAAAAAAGCTGTCGAATTGTATGGTGAGTATTTTTAGCGCTCATACTCTTCCATATCAACGACATATATATTCTTCGTTGATCTGACATATTTTATTTTCCACTAACTTCGAAAACAAAGAATATTAAACAACCAACATAGATCGACAACAAATGTATTATGGTTAGCAATACATAGACAATGTAGGCAATAAACATTAGGTTGGTGGGAGTGGTGCCACACTTGCCACAGTCCACATCAGCGCCAAATCAGATTTGCCACACTGCATCAAAATTTTGCCATATTCATTGCATGGGTTGCCACACTTGCCATGCTACTTTTTTTAAAAATAATTTATATTAAAAATAATCAATTTAACCAACTTAATTTAAGACTAAAATTTCATTAAACTTCAACGCAATTTACAACAAACACACCAAAAAAAAACTTAGAATATAAAACTAGAAACATGGAAATTAAAATTACCGAACCTAGATAGACCTAAATGACATCTTCATCGGAAAATTGACCGTCCAAATCATCGACCAGTTCTGCGTTAAAATCGATGTGGTTGACGGTCCAAATATGTTCCGTCAAGTCCCTACGAAGAACACGATGCATCTCAACATCATGAATTATTGGCCTCCTCGCCAAGCACTCCGCTCTTCCAACCTCAAAAGCTTGTGTCGATGGAACGATCTCATTTCGTTATACTTACATATTGCATTCCCTTCGACTTCCAGAATCCTATTATGCAACATGATACAAGTATACATCACCTCACTCATTTTTTCTCTTCCAAATAAGGCGCGAGATATATAATAATATGCCAACGTTTTTCAAAGCACCAAACGCTCGTTCAACATCCTTTCTCGCCTTCTTTTGACTCTCTTAAACTTCAACCTTCTACGATCATTTGGACAAGAAAATGACTTCACAAAACAAGCATGCTCTGGATAGATCCCGTCCACAAGATAATACCCGTTCTCATAGGATGTTCTAGATACTTGAAAGGAAGAATCTGGTGCAATCCTGTTATACATGTCGTCAAATAACGGAGACATGTTAAGAACATTAATGTCATTGAGCGAACTAGCAAAACCAAAGAATGCATGCCATATCCACAAATCCTGTGAGGCCACGCTTCAAGTATAATGGTTGGATAACCATGATCGCCTCGGGTGTATTGGCCTTTATGGACAACAACCTCATTCCCAGTGGAGGCAATCTAGGGTTCCCAACATTCCAGGGAAGTCGTATACATTTGAATGATGAGCATACAACTATTGGATGTCACTACAAGTAGGTTTGCGCAGATATCGTGGACCATATAATTTCATGACAAACTTAAAAAATTTGTGAACGTTTTTTCATGTAGTACGTATAGACATCCTAAGATTCTCATCTATTGCATCGGGGCAAGTGGCATATGCTAATTGACGAAGTGCAGCGATACATTTTTGTATAGGAGTAAAACCAACTGTACCTCTAGCATCCCGACGTTTTTGAAAATATAGACACGTTGTCGTGACATCGTTGACGATAGGCAAAAACAGAGCTTTATGCATACGAAACCGGCAAAGAAAACAATATCCTTGAAACGCAGCGTGTTCGGCAAAGTAATCATGCATGAGTTTTTCATTAGCCGCCTTATGATGTCTTTGTATGTATCTTCTCTTCATCCGGCGTGCATTCCCCGTATTTTGTTGTCGTAGTTGTAACAACCCAAAAATAAAGATAAAATTTTGTTTTTAAATTCATTCAAAACATACGATACTCATATCAAAACAGTTAAAAGTGTATCATAGTAACATGTTATCATAGTACAAATTCCCAAAATATCAAAATGCGGAAACCATAAGGTGATGCGGTGTGATCAGGTCGAGCCCTTCCCCTTCAAACTGGAAGTACCTGAAACATAAACTGAAAACTGTAAGCACAAAGCTTAGTGACTTCCCCCAAAATACCTCATACCATAAAAAAAATACAGCCAAGCATATATGTGTGCTTGTAATCCCCTTCGGTCTATTTCAACTGGATACAATCAAGCATATTTGGGTGCTTGCAATCCCCTTCGGTCTATTTCAACCGGATACTGTCAAGCATATCTGGGTGCTGGAAATCCCTTCGGTCTATTTCAACCGGATATCGAGTCTATTTCACCCCTACCACTACCATATAATATAATAACAAAGAATCAGAGAGTCATTAAGCAAACACATGCATAACTGACAGTTGTCATGAATTCAACCATCATACTTCAACATAAACTAGTGGGCCGACATTGGTGCCTTCGACTCACAGATACAGTGAAGAACACTCACCTCAGACTGAAGGTATCAAATCACACTCAGTGGATGACTCGCGAAATCCTCTCCTTAAGGCACAAGTATAAAACCCTAATTAGAAATTAGGACAATATTCTAGCCCGAGGGTTCCAACCCTAATTCTTGTCTTAAAAGCCGAAAGGTTTGCTTAACCCTTGCCTCATTAGGCCTGCACTACTAACGCCCACATCCAGTTAGTCCAAAAAGGCATTCCAAGCCCAACTACAAGGCCGTTAAAGGCCCAATATGGCCCAAGAGCAACCAAAGTGGCCTAAAGCCCAAAAATATCTTGCTACAACAGGTGGGTCTGAGGCCCAAACCTAAACAAGTCAAAATCCTAACAAAACTCGATCCCAAAATCTCATCAGCCCACAGACTGCGTACGCACGGCGTACATGGCTCGTACGTCCGACGTACGCTGATGATCCGGAATCGGGGCACTGGCCCAGTACGCGCATCGTACTCTAGAGTACAATCGGCGTACTGGTCAGTCATCCCATATTTGCTCCCATGTCTTAATCAATTAAGCTTTAACGTCCAAAACTTAGATCCAAGCTCATAATAGTGTCTTAAGCCATAAAGTCTTGGCTTTTATTTCAAAATTTGTTTCAAAAACTAGTAAAATGGCAAACGGAAGACTTCAAGATTTCGAAATAACATAAGCAATTTATACCCAACAAGGATCATCTTTCAAGTTGTAGAAAGATTTAAACACCAACCAAAGAAAGGATGAAGAAGTAATAACCTTTGTAGTTCTTTGGGTCCTCTTGGGAGGCTTGGAAGTTGATGAAGAATGTGGAACCTTTGAGACACCAACAATGATTCAACTTGATGTAGAATGCTAGTTCTTTTGTATAAAACTCATAACACTCTTAAGATTTATATTCTTATCAATATATGTAACGCCCGGACTCTGGTACGCATTTATTTACAATTATTCATGTTTGAAAAAGCTACTCGACGAGTTGGAAGCCCCAGAATCGTCGAGTAGAAGTTACTCTTGGACGCGAGATTTCAGCCACCTACTCGACGAGTCAAGAGCCCTCGACTCGGCGAGTAGGCCTGGCAGAGTGAAACCCTAATTTCGGGGTTTTTGCACCCTATTTAAGCATCTTAATCCCCACCCCTTAGCCCCATTTACAGCCTCCTTGTCCCAAACCCTAATCCACGAAACCCTAGAGCTTTCCTTGAGTGTGTGAGCCATTTTGAGTGATCTTTGTGCACTTTTGAAGCTTGTGGAAGAAGAAGAAGATAGAAGGCTAAAGAGGGAAGGAGTAGATCCAGAAGCTACACTCCATTTTCTACATTTTCTGGTAATCAAGTCTCTAACTTGATCATTCCTTTCTTAGATCTATTTACTTCCATTTTTATGAGGGTTTTGGTTCAAGAACCTTGGTCTTTGGGATTTGGACGTTCCAAGTGACTTATACCTCAGATCTGGGATCTAGAAGGGGTTCCATGGCATAAAGGTGCAAACTTTATGACCATGGAAGCCCCATGCAAGCTTATAAGCATTAATATGGCCTTTTTAGCCCTAAAAGGCCATGCATGGAAGGAAAG